TTTTTTTTTTTTTTTTCCTTTTTTCTGTTGGTAGACTTTGCTTAAATCACGGTAACTGATGCTGGAGTGGGGTAAGTTACCTTTGTAACTGATATTGATGCATTATAATAAATAAAATAGTATCTTTAGGTATAGTTGTAAATACTTTTATATAAGGATAAAATTGAAAATAATTATTTATCTTACAGCATGGATAAAAATTTCCCTATTTTGTATTGTACAACATGTTTGGTTTATGTTTGGCCAATTTACATATATCCCCCTATCCCTCTCTCCCTATATATTAATACAGAACGCGTTGAGCTTACGTGACTGCTTCTAGTGCTTCAGAATCCTATGTGGCAAAATTATATGCTTCGTTATTAGGCTTGGGTAAATTTTAATTTAATTCCAAACAAAAAATAATTAGGTTCGGATTACCATAAATATATTGATTATTTATGGTCATGTTACATGTATTAATTGCATTTTAATATCATTCATCATTATATTTATTGAATTGTATATATATTTTAAAAGTTAATAACTTTTGTATTTTTTATCAGTTTTACATATGTAATATATCAAATTAATCTTCTTTTGATGAGTTTCGATTTAACATCCATATTGTATGTATTAAAAATATAATTTATATTTATCTTTATAACAATAATAAAATTATTTTTAATATTAATTAAAAAAACAAAATTATTTATTAACTAATATATTTATATTTCAAGTAGTTATATGATATAAATTATAAAAACTATAATAATATATCTCATGTAAGTCATAAGTAACACATATCATTCTAAAATATATATTACTTTTTTTGTAAGAAAATAAACTAAATTTAATATAGTTTTCTCATTAATTTTAAAATTTAAGAATAATTTTTTAACAAGCACCCGTGTAATACACGGGTGTTGTACTAGTACTTTGTTGATTATTAAATAATTGTAAAATACTAAATAAAAAACTTATTTGCCTATTGATATGGGATAACCACACCATGTAACGTCCAAAATATTTTTACTATTTATGGAGCTCGATTTTATATCAATAGATAGTCAGTTTCTCTATTTGATGCATTAATTACTATTATTATTTGTACAAAACGAGTAATTAATTTAAAGTCTAAATCATGGAGATTTTATTCGATTTTTAATATTAAAGTCGGATTTATTTAGCTCAAGTATCGATTTTAATTTTAAAGGTAAAAATTGAGCCTTGAAATAATCAGAATTTTATTTAAGTCGGGCGAAGCCCGAATATTTAATATTATTCGAGCCTAAACATTCTTAAGCAAGTCCAATTATTTTAGCTGGCCCATTTAATTTAATCGAGCATATGCTCATTTTATTTCGACTCATTTCATTTAATCGAGCCCAAGTTTGATTTTAATTTAGTCCATTTTAAAAATCAAGCCTATGTTCGATTTTTAATCCGCCAATTATTTTATTAAATTCGACCGACTAATTAATTTAGTCTAAGTTTCGATAATTTTTTTTAAATTCACCCAAGCATTTAATTTTCCTAAGTCAATGTTCGATTTATTAGCTGATTTCATAGCCCGATTTTAGGCCCAACAGCAACATAAAACCCTAGTCTTCTTCTTCACTATAAATACAACACTCCCAACATTTTCAAACATCAAACCCTAGCCACTATTCACCATCTTCCTCATTCAAGAGCAACTTCACCTTCTTCCACCATAAAAACCGGCGAGCTCTACCTTTTCCGGTCACCATCCGCGGGAATCGCGACCCCCAGCAGTCGGAGAAGCCACATCCACCCGCAGCTAGAGCCTAAATCCATTGTAGGGTCATTATCTTAATGTATATGGTCATTATCTTTTACATGGTAAATTATATTATCTTTTACATGATAAATAATTTTGGCCATTAGTAAAATTATTTAATATATATGGTCATTATCTTTTACATGATAAATTATATTAATTTGAGAATAATTTATTTTATATATATAACGAAATAAAGCTTAAGAAAAAATTTTATTTATTGATTCACCAACTTGATTTCGTCTGATTAGTTGGAAGAAAAAGTTCCACCGAACATGTTACAATTTTCTATAAATATTTTCAGATGAAAAATGAATATTTGTGAAAAAAAATTAATACGATGGTTAGAATTTAAAATATGTTGTAATATTTACTCTGGCCAAAATATTATCAACATGGATGACGGAAAATCAATCGTGTAAGTTAGTATAATAGATATTAAAAAAATTATTACAGATATTAATAAAATTATTGAAAAACAATATTTTTGAGCATATTTGATTGGATCTTATTTGAAAACGTCATATATAGAAGCAATTAAGGCATATATATAAAAAAGTTTTTAAATAAAAAGGTATTAAATGCTCCTAAAATTTTTTACCACTATTTTTAGTAAATAGTTATTTTATTATATATATATATATTTATATATATAGATTTTGATTATGATACCTTTATAATATTTTCACATAGTATTTAATTATACTAGACAACTAGTACAACTCCCGTATATCATACGGGTCTTTGCTAATTTTTTTCTTAAAATCTAAAATTAATGAGAAAAAATAATTATAAATTATAATACCTTTTATAAAAATATATATATTATTATATATTTAGTATGACAATTTATTTATTTGTGCGACTTACCTGTGTTATATTATAATATTTTTTTGACTTACAATATATAACTACATTAAACATAAATATATCAATTGAGAAATAATTTTATTTTTTTAATAAATTAATAAATATTATTATTTTTATTATTATAAAGACAAATATGATTTATTTATTTCATATATACAATATGAATGTCAAATCGAAGATCATCAAAAGATGATTAATTTGACATATTATATATGTAAAACCGATAAAGATTACAAAAGTTATCAACTTTTAAAATATATTTACAATTCAATAGCTAATTGAAGGAAACAAATCAAAAGTAAGAGATATATTAGTCACTTAGTGTCTGACTATGTAAACTTACAAAAAATTAAATGGTTATAAATACCTAAGTTAGCTAAATAATATTTATAGAATGTCCGAACCTAAATTATTAATTATTAATATATCAATATTATTTGTCCAAACCTAATTACGAAACATGATTCTTCGCCAAGTAAAATTTTGAAGCACCAGAAACAGGCACGTAACCTCAGCGCATTCGGGACAGGGAGGATATAGGGAGGATTGTAATTTCAATTTTGACCTCTCTTGGACCTGCATCACTCGTTCCGCAAAATTCCGATTGGAATAAACTTAGCAAAACGTGGGCTCTGCAAATTTCAATCCCCTTTGCATCGATAAACTTGAGGTGAGAAAAGGGATCTTAATCTACTCCTTCTTCTTTCCCTATCTCTTTTGCATTTCTTCTTAATTATCGTATATCAGATCTGGTCTGCTCAGAGGAATTTGTTGAATTATCGTTCAGTATAGGAGTTTTTTTCTCCTAAATACTTGTTTTATGTGCGTTGAATCAGACAGTTATCGAGTCATCGCATTCCAGTTCTTACTTGAGCGGTTATAATCTGGTCGTCGGCCATTCAGAAGTATTATGGCGAACGCTCCGGTGGCATTTGCGGCGATTTTATTTGTTCTGACGGCTCAGCTGCCTTTGGGGCTCACGTTTTCCACTGGCCCGGCATTTCTATGGTCGCCTAATCTTGATGGGTAATAACAATAATCGTATTGATTTTCGATTCTTGATCTTTCGTGCAGCTGAATTTATGGTGTATCAGTACTACATAGGCGGATTTGTCTGTTTAGATTGAATTCTAGTAAATTGTAGCCCAATATGTGCATCAGCTGTGCGTCCAATTCAATCACACTGTTAAATAATCATATCTTTTTTGATCTCCTTGAACACCCGCCGACCGCAGCACATTTTTTGGTATCTTATGCTTGCAATTTTTTATCTTTGAACTTGTTGAGTTGATTGTTATTGATAATCTTGTGGCAGAAAGAAAGGAATTGTGGATTACAGAGTTCTTTCTCCAAGAGAAATGGCCAAGTCCGCTTTGACGGATGGTGGATGGCAGGAATATTTGGTATATCTTTATTTTTTCTTCAAATTCTGATAAAAATATACGAAGTATGGACACTTTAAATTGGTAATTTTAACTGTTTGTAAGTGTGTCCTTATTTGACTGTTCGATTTTGTGCCCATGTTTTCTAGATAAAAATTCTCCCATGCAGTTTTATCCTAGAATCAAGAGATCTCTAATTGTTTGAAGTAATTATGTGCGAAAAGATGGTCGGTTGGAACTAGCATGAAAAGTAGATATACATCAGGCTAGTGATTACTTCTCATTTCAACTAAATAATCTTCTATTTTTTTTGTTGTTTTCAGTGCGCAGGAGAGGAAGCTCAGCACTCTAAGAATTTTGCATTCCTTTTTGTTGGGTCTGAGGTATTATTATGTTATCCCCATTTCATTCTGCTATAAAATGAACACCTACCGTAACTTTACATGACATTTAACATGAATGAAACTGTCCTCTGATTTAGCTGTTATTTCTTTATGACAGTTTTTCACGTCATGCGTACTTTAATTAATATAGATGGTCACGTCATGAAAACATCTTTTTCGCCAATTCAATCCAGAAAGGTTTCAAGGATGTATGAGTGACTTTTTTTTAATATCCAAACCAAACTGATTTGAAACATGTTACTATGTAATCAAGGAGTTACTAATCAACGTTAAATAAAAAGATTAGATGAGTGAGATTCACAATTTCTGAGTCGCAAATTGAAATTTAGGTAATAGGAGAATACTTCTACTTGGCTTGATGCTTCACTAAGTTTATTTGCAAAAGATTCTTTTAATGACTCGTGGTTGACGAATTGCACTACAGTTTATTGATTTGTAGGTTGAGATATCCAAAGAAGCACTAAGCTACATATTGTTCTTATTATTAATATAGTAATAATTTTATTGTTATACTTATACTATCCTCCTTTCTCTCCCCTGGAGCTTGAAATATGTTTTTCATTGTGCAGTTGCAATCACAGGATCTATCCCGACCCTCAAATGTTGATCGTGCTCTTGTAGACTTGCTCAAGGTTAATTACTCAAAAGCCCTTGTTATATTGTATTTGAGTTTATTTCAACATCATATCATGTAGCACCTTTTGATTTTAAACTAATGTATGGTTGCATTATCCATAGGACTCTTTCTCGAACTCCAATCTCTCTTTGGTATTTCCTTACATTGCTGCTGGAGAGGAGAATGTGGCCGTAGAAAGCTCTCTAATTTCAGAGTTGGCTGATACTTGTCATCGTGAGTTCGGGATTGGCCGTATTGCTACTGTTGGATCGTGTTCTGTAGAGGGTGAAAACATCGATAATCTGAACGATGTTGACTCAGTTCATGTATGACTACTGATGGCATCTCACATATAATTGTTTTATTTGTATTTTGTCCTACTGAATGTTATTAAATAATTTACTGGTAGGACTACTTGAATGCAAGGATCGAGAAATCTGACGGCCGTAGGGATCTGATTGTGTTGTGCCCTGGAGATTCAGAAGACTCTGAACAACCACATTCTGAGAGTAAGATTTCTAAAGACAATGCTTAAAGTAATTTTGAAAATTCTTCTGCCTCTTTTTGTCTATAAACTAAAATATTATGTTATTTATGAGCTTATTGTTCATTTGAGCCTGGAAATCAGACTACAACATTTTGGTTCCACATGCAGGCAGCATACTTTCTCGACTTTTGAATACTGTGAGTCAATTGGGTGCGAAGTACAGTGTTCTCTACATCTCAGATCCGTTTAGATCTTCTAGTTATTTCTCACATCGGGGGCTAGAAAGATTTCTTGCTGAAGGTGGCTTGGGAAACGCATCAGCTAATTCCACGGCTTGTGATGGAGTTTGCCAGATCAAGTCATCTCTGTTAGAGGGAATTCTAGTGGTAAGTTAATAACTAATTTTGTTCAAATTGCATCTATGATTTGTTGAAGAAAAATGACTCGGGGATCACATAGATTACGAGGCTCATAAATTGTAACTGAAATGTTCCAAATGTGGATCTTTTACTCTTCTTCTCATAATCTCATGCATGTTTCGGCAAATTATTCAAAGTGGGTTTCCTTGCATTCACAGTAAATCTCTGAAATGTTAACTTCTCAGGGAATCGTTCTACTTGTGATTTTGATATCGGGGCTTTGCTGCATGATGGGAATCGATACTCCCACAAGATTCGAGACTCCACAAGATTCTTGATCACTTTCTTATGAAGGATATGTTGTGTATTTTTGGGGTGGGTTGCTTGTTTACTCGTGGGTGGAGTAAAATTTTTACTTATGTTGTGTACTTTGAGTGACCAATTAAAAATAATTGCATTGGCACGTCCAGTAATTATAGCACAATGGTTACGTATTTGTCTTACCATTGTTAATACTGTGGTTGTTTACTATTAAATTTAAATGTTCTCATTGTTTATAATCGTCTCCAGTATTTCACTGGTTTCAGCAATTTTGAATTGACGTCAAAAGTTTAAGGGACAGAGCATCTGATGGGGCCTTATTTCGAGTTGCTCTCCCTTTCACTCTTTCATACTGTCGTCACAACGATTATTACTTTTTCCCCTTGGAGCTCGTTTATTTTTCTAGGCGTATTGGACAATTTTTCAAGCTTGAGATGGGATAATACTGCTGTGAAGTTGTCGTTCCTTTATTTGTCAACTTTGATGTTACCTATCCAATCTTGTTTGTATTCTATAAAACCGTCCCCTTCACAGCAAAAGTTCAAATCTGCCGGTGCCTCCTCTTCAGCTAGTACTTCCTTCTGGCCGGCCAGCGCTTCGAGGACCTCACGGCCATGGTGGATTTTACCATCTCCCTGGTTG